TAGAACAATACTTAGCACATAATTAGTGCTCAAAAAGTACTCATCATTATTACTTTTTTTTTTGAGTTGGGGTCTCACTCTGTCGCCTAGACTGGTGCAGTGGCCGCTCCTGGCCACTACAGCCTCGACCTGCTGGGCTTCGGCGATCCTTCCACCTCAGCCTTCCAAGTAGCTGGAACTACAGGTGCATGCTACCACACCCAGCTAATTTTTTTATTTATTGTAGAGATGAGGTCCCGCCAAGTTGCCCAGGCAGTTCTCGAACCCGTGGGCTCAGGCAATCCACTCACCTCAGCCTCCCAAAGCATGGGATTACAGGCTGAGCCACCGAGCCCGGCTATCATTATCACTCTTACCTCTGAAAAAGTACATATGAAATATTTGGATGGTATGCAGGGAGAAGAAGGTTGTGCAACTTCACAGAAAATGATCTAGAAAATGATCAAAGTGCCATAGTTGTGGGAGGTAAAATGTGGAGCTCACTGGATGTGATGGGATGATTACAAGAAAAGAGGCTAAGTAATGTAAGTACTTAGAGACTAATTGTGGTCCTCCATCTCCAAAACAATTTTTTTAGTTAAAGAAAACTTTATTATCAATATTATGCCCTTCCTACCAGCTAGCGGATATTGTGGGCCTGTGCTCTTCAATATGGTAGCCACTAGTCACAGGTAGCCATTTAAAATGAAGTTCAATAAAATTTAAAATGCATTTTTAATGCTGTACTAGTTACATTTCAAGTACTCAGTAACCACATGGAGTTACTTAAATTTAAGGAAACTACAATTAAATAAAATTAAAAATGTATTCTCTCAGTTGCACTATCCATACTTCAAGTGCTCAGTAACCACATATGGCAAGTGGTTACTGTATTGAACAGCACAGATTTTAAAACACTTTCATCATCACAGAAAGTTCTTTCGGACAGCACTGATATAGATATTATCCTTAGAAATGAATTTTTTCACCTAAAGACTTAATGTTATTAAAGTGTGGAGTCTCTGGAGATAACTTCCTTATTGTCATTTATTGCATGATGCATTTTTCTGAGAAAAGTGTTCTCATCAAGCAAATGGAAGTTCAACCCAGAGGGCAGGAGAGAATGCAGATGTGGAACTCTCAAAGGTGTTAGAAGACGTCATGGAGGGGTAAAGGGAATATGAGAAACACTGAAGACAGGGCCTTCTTTTGTATAAGAATTTGTACTTATATGAGCATTACAGTTTTTGAGTGTTTCTATGTCAGTTTCTCATGTAGCCTTCACTTAATTCTAAGAAGTCAATAGCATGACTTCTTATTTCCCCAAGTAAAATAAAGACCCAGAGAAGTTCAATGATTTATCTAAGCTTGAGGGCAGGGCTTCATTTTTGTCTATATATTCTCATTCAATGAATGAATGAATGGTGCATCTAGCTTAGGACTGGTGAGGGCCGAAACCCAAATTAGAGTCCTAGTCTCTGAGGCCATGCCCAGGGGTCTTCCTGCCATTCCATAGCTTCCTCAGGGCAACGCATAACTAGATCACTCAAGAAGGCTAACCAGCACAACAACTGCAGATCCACACTGAATACACTCATCTCCAAAATGAGCCTCAGTCTGTGTTTGAATTAGCTTTGAATTACAGATGAAGCCCTTGCCCTCCCTAGAAGAAAACAAGTAAACCACCACTGTAACAAAATGAGATCTGGCATCCAAGATGCCTAAGCTTAGATTCAGGCTCTAGGGATAGTGAGATCAGACGGACCATCCAGAAGCAGATGGTGAGAGTCTGGTTGGAGACTCTGGCAAAGGACCAGGCAGCTGGGCTGGAGGCCTTCAGCCAGGCAGTGTTCTCAAGTCAGGTGTCCTGGGGTGCCTCACACACCAGCAGGGCTTGGAAGAAGATCCCCTGGACAGAGGTGTCTCCTGAGAGCGGACTTTAAGGTCCAGTATAAATTAAGTGTGGGAGAGGGTGGTGGATGGTTACATAGAGAGATTCAGTGTGAGAGACCCAGAGGAATAAATAAGGCTGCCTGGTGGTATGCCTGGTGAAACAGCGATGGATGTGGTAGGGGTCGCTTGTGCCAGACTAAGGACGTGGGACTCTACCTTTAGGGCAGTGCAGAGCCATCAAAGAGCTAAGAAGAAAGATGACAGGTTTTAAAATATGACTTTGGGAAAACTACCTAGCCTCTCTGAACTAGTTTTCCCATCTCAAATGAGCACAATAATATTGTTTTAGTTTTCTACCTCTGCCGTAACGAATTACCATATATAATTTGGGTGACTTAAAAGAAATATATCATCTCACAGTACTGAAGCTATAAGTCTGAAATCAAGTTGTCAACAGGGCCGCATTCACTCTGAAGGCTTTAGGGAAGAATCCTTCCTTGTCTCTTCCTGGCTTCTAGGGGTTGCAGATGACCATTGACATTCCTGGCTTGCAGCTACACGTTCCAATTTCTGCCTCCACCTTTGCCTGGCTATCTTCCTTCTGTGTGTCTCTGTCTCCAAATCTCTCTCTTCTTATCAAGACCCCAGTCATTTAACTTAGAGTCAACTTAATCCTGTATGACCTCATCTTAATTTGATTACATCTGCAAAGACCCAAATCTCCAAATAAGGTCATACCTGGGGCGGGGGGGTTAGGACTTAAGCATATCTATTTAAGGAACATAGTTCAATCTACGGCAAATACTTACCTTGACATGTTATGGCGAGGAAAGCTTTCTGTTGCTGTCTTATTTGTTAAGTGGCAGTATTTAATGAATCATCCTGTTCTTTTTGGCTAAGCGTAGCTCTGTCCCATCTTCACACTTAAAGTTTCACTGACTGGGGAAAAAAACAGGCATTCTCTAATCTCTACTTTTGCCAAGGACTTGAGAAAGAAACGATTATGTTCCAGGTGGATTAGATCATGGTGCCAGTGGATATTTCAGTTCTTAATCACTTAAGAAATTGCAAATAAAGCAATATTAACTCCTAAGTGAAAAATGAGAACTGGTAAGAATACCTCTGACTTATTTACTCATGGAGGGCTAAATGCCTGGTGAAAGACTGGAGCCCGATTTCCCTAAGTCATTCTCCAGGTAGCATGCTCTTCAGCGCAGTTTCTTCAGGGTCAAGAACTGATGATACAATGGGAAGTGAAAGGGATTTTTATCCCCAAGCACACTACCCATTAGGGTGTGTGTCTGGCATCCCAGAGTCACATCTTCCTGAAGTCTGACTGTCCTGAAGTCATTTTGTACATCAGGTAGCAGAAGCAGAGCCACCGTTGATTCTGCTGACAGCAGAAAGACCATATTGTCATACCTGAGCATGTGTTATGAAGAACAGCAAAGACCGTTTCTTTTCCCCCAGGAGCCCCTTATGTTTTATATGCAACTAGGTAAACCAGTTTAAGCCTTCACAGACCTTACGCTAGATACTTTATTCCATTTTTATTGTACTGTGTGCAGCTGGCGTGAAAACCAAATCAGATGAGTCTCTGCAAAAATCCATTTAATATGCAGTGGGACAGAATATTGGGGACATGGGTGTGTCTTCTTCCCCTAACCCTTCCCTCCCACTTAGTCAGGCAAATATTGCTTAAAAATATGACCGTGCATTTAGGAAGAAAGACCTGGGCTCCAGATATTTGTTTTTCTGGCTTGCTTTCCTTTATTCTTCACATTTTAAAATATCTATTCTTTTCTTGGTAAAGATTAAAGAAAATACTTTAAAATTAATATGTCTCAAAGTAAATTTCCCTGGCTCATTCCAAATCAGTGAAGAAATGAAGGTCACTGGAAATATGATTGTAAAGGTCAACTTGTTAGAGGATGCTGAAGCTTGATGTAAACATACTGCTTGTGAAGGGCTGGCATTTTACTCGTAACTACTGAAAGCACATGTCCAGCACATTGCTTCTCTTTCCATTGTGATGAGCATAATTAAGTTTTACTTTTAAAAAAATCTCTTGGCACTTTATTTTTTTCCCCAACTGAGTCAAGTAGCACAGTCTTTGAACTGAAAGGAAATTGGAGATGGCTAACCTAAGGAATGCAAGGAATATATTTTTTTCTATAAGTAGGCATTGATTCTCTCATTAACTTATAGAGTGTGTATTTAAAGGCTCAAGCTGTACTTCCTTTCAGTAGATTTGAGGTGGCTTTAAAGTTAAAAAGAAAATGACCTTTGAAGATCAAAAAGAAAAAAAAAAGCCTACCTGGACACAACTCTTCTTCCCAAACAGTAAAGAAAATTATAGCTAAAGCAATATGGTGTAGTGTTCCCTTGTATTCATGGATGAAAGCAAGCTACAGACAAGTTCAGCTGAAGGTCAGATACATTTCATGACTTTCAACCTAATTGCTATGATCCTTCAGTACATGATTCTGCAAAACACCTCATGGCTCTCCTTTTCCAGGCTGAGAACACACCTGAAAGAGACTTGCTGTTCCACTAACTTTGATTCCAATATGTTTTCTTTTCTTTTTTTTTTGAGTTGGAGTCTCACTCTGTCACCCAGACTGGAGTGCAGTGGCCACTCCCAGCCACCGCAGCCTCGACCTCCTGGGCTCCGGTGATCCTTCCGCCTCAGACTTCCGAGTAGCCGGAATTATAGGCGTGCACTACCACACCCGGCTGATTTTTTGATTTATTGTAGAGATGAGGTCTCGCTGCCCAGGTGGGTCTCGAACCCGTGGGCTCAGGCAATCCACTCACCTCAGCCACCCAAAGGCGCAGGATTACAGGCTGAGCCACCGAGCCCGGCTCCAATGTTTCCATAGATTTTTGGAACTGTGCTCAACTGTGCCTCTGACTTGGGAAACTGGAGACCTCAGTCATTTTATGCCTCTGCAAAAGTATTTCCTTTACTATGGTGGCTGCTCTAGCTATGTATGTGGTTACCACCAGAAGCACACACTTGTCCTTGTACCCTTGTACCTCCTGCCCAGTTTTGTAAAGAACCTAGGGGGAAAGGAGAAGCCACAGACCAAGGCTTTTTGGTCATTTATCCTCTCTCTTCTCTGCAGATGGTCGGCTGTGACTATGAGATTGATTCCAATGCCACGGAGGACCGCTGTGGCATATGCCTTGGAGATGGCTCTGCCTGCCAGACCGTGAGAAAGATGTTTAAGCAGAAAGAAGGATCTGGTAATAAACAAACAAATAATCAAAGTGCTGGGTACTGAGAATGAGGGGCAAGATAATTGATCGATTCTTAGTTCTTGTTTTTGTATTCTTAAAACAGCTTGTAATTTTCAAAACATTTAGATTGGAATACAGCCCTCACTTCAGAGAGCTAAGGGTTCCTTGGCAGTTTTAGGAAAAGGGTTTGCTGAGCAAATAGAGGACACTTCACTGTGACACAGAGATCTGAAACAGCCTGGTGGCTGCACACAAGAATGAGTATAAGAGTGTGATCCCTCAGAGAAGATCCCCTTCGGGAAAAGTTATCACAAGTGGCTAAAACCAATGGCATTAGAGCAGACCAAGAGCTGGGGGACAGAAAAGATAAACTAATTGAGAAGGCTGCAGACACAAGGGTAGGCACTGTAAGTAAGAGCACACAAGCCAGTAGTGGATTTAAAGGCAAAAAAAAAAAAAAAAGAGTCCATCTTCAATTCAAAGCCAAAAGACAGGCAAGGCAAAGGGCAAAGTTACTTCAGCTCTCTTTCACTCCCAATTACTCCCTGTAAGGGTTCCCACCCAGTGGTCCCTCATTATTCTCCAAGTGGCTCCTCCACCTAGCATTCCTCCTTACTCATACTCTGCTGTTATTTTCCCAGAGTTGCCTTTTACAGGTTTTCTTCTCTGTGCAACTTTGCACTACTGATAGGCTTCAGATAGTGAAGAGCCTACCCTCATCCCAAATCACCTATGACCGCATGAAGATTTGCCTTCAGGTACAACACTTAGGCTCTTTTGGTACCCCCTATGATTTGTAGCTGGTGAGAGTGTGAAGGAAAGGCTGGGTTAGGCCCGGAGATGGTAAAAACAACTCAGGGTATCTTGGCTTGAGCTACCACAGATATATCCCAAGACAAGAATTATTCAAGCAGGGGAAGAAAGGCAGTCAAGAGTGTATCATTAAGCAAATTACCTTTATATAGGAGCAAGTGTAGAACCTGCACATCTGAGTGTTCCCACTTACAGGGTGAAGGAGTTGAGATGGTACTCACCACCTCCTACCAGTCATGAGTTGAGGCTACTCCAGAGAGATTGGGCTGTTAATTCTCTGGAATCCATAAAAATGCAGATGATGGAAGCAGGGAGTCTAGCGTGCACTACAGCAGTAGGACTTGAGGGGAGAGGGGCAGTGTCCACCTCGGGAGTGATGCTCAAGACAGGAAATAATAGCTACTTTCAGATATAGTGAAGTCCTCTTTTCCTGGGTCCTGGGCAAAGCAATGCCTCTCCTAGACATACTTGCTGCCCAGAATCAAGTTACCAAGTAGAATCTCAAGAGTACCAAGTGTGTTCTTCAGTTGATTACATGACTTACTGTTCTCTAGTAAACATAACAGCAGGTAACCTAACTTTGTTTCATTTCTATCACTATTTTTTTTCTCACTTTTGACTATTGAATTGCTAAAGTTAAGTTGTAAAATGTAATGCTTGTCCTGCCCTTTAAAATGATCATTATAAGATTATGTTTCATGTTCTTGATTGATAACTTTATTATAAATGAAAATGCCCTTTGAGTTACTTATTAGGGATATGAATGATAACCCAGTGTGTCTTAAAGCTTATGATTAAGCACCCTATGGTAGCTAATGTTTTTTAATCTTTATGAAGGTGTTTTGTAAATATTTTTTCAGTTTTAGATGTGGTTTTATTTACTTGAGCTATAAACAGTCACACTTAAAATCATATGTCTGCATTTAACCTACTTCTTTATCTGTGGGATTCCTGTCTTTGACCTGTGATGTGCTGTGCTTCTAACATAATGGGACTCTTTTGGCAACTGCAGTTGTCATCCCATAATCTCCTCCACTTAACCATTTAATCTCTTAGGAAATTGGACTCGAGTTTTGGAATCTTTGCTCTGGTCTCTTTGGAATGAGAAAAGGGCATCAGAAGTGTCTTAAGCCTCCCTCCCACCCTCACACCTACCTCAGAAATCTCAGTGCCTCTAGCTACATGTTCACCCCTGAGCATTTGACATCTCCTTTTGCCTTTGTGTTTTCATTTCACTTTCCCCTATTTCCCTCTTCTGTATTTTGTGTCCACTAGCTTCTAGAAAAAGGGTTGTGGTTGGTCAGCATTTTACAAGATTCCACGACCCTTACAACCCTCTTTTGAAATAATTGAGGCTAAAACTCTAAATCTAAGACAAGACAAGTTCAACTCCTCAAAAGATTTAGGCACATTTATTTTTATGTAGTTTTTCTCACTGTTATTTGTAAGCCTATGAAATATGGACTTATATCTAAACTGGAAACCTACGTGTCACTGCCTTCAAGCCAGGGATCAGAGATAGATAAGCTTTTCTCAGGGGCCTTCTCACATAAAGCATGAGATCTTGGCCTGTGGTGAGCATGGTCTTGCTTGCCATAAATAGATAGCAAAAATAAAAAAAAGACAAGCTGGCCCTTATAGATAAATCACTCAGGGTTACTAGTATAACTTCTTGAGCACATTTTTACTAGAAGTGACAAAGACTGGAGACCAGAATGCTGGTGAATCAAGTCCTTGCTTGTAGAGTGCAGAGAACAGTTGGATAAGATTTGTATTAGCACCAATAATCCATGGTATCTCTTACATTAATGTCTTCAGAAGTGAGGTCCTATCCTCTCCCTCATCCTCAAAGATTCTGAGAGTTCTTATATCCCAAGACTGGGATAGTGATGGGACACTTTCTCCAGGTGGTTTCCTTGGGCCCAGAGACTTTTTCTTTGAGGTCAAAATTACGTCTCTCTTCTTCCTGCAATACTGATGCAAGTGGCTACTCTGGAGAATATGCAAGAAAATTGATTTTTCTGAATAAATATGTTCACTGTTCTTAATACAGTTGACCCTTGAACAACACAGATTTCAACTGCACAGGTACACTTAATACAAGGATTTTTTTCAGTAAATATATTGGAAAATTTTTTGGTTCCTTTGGAGCTGCCAGTTTGAAAAATGAGGCTGAGGTTGTGACCTGCATCCAGTTTCTGAGCAAATTATTCCTGATAGACAGGCTAGGGTTTGACTCCCAGGACCCTGTAATACTTTAGTGTCAGAGGGAGATGGAAAAATCAAAGCCATTTCAGGTGACAAGGATGAGCATCTTGGTTGTTGGGCCAAAAAATCTAATGTATATCCAGTGGAAAATGACCACAACAGTGTCTTAAAACCATGTTTTGTGTGAAAAAGTTGAAGAGACAAAGAATAGCTAGCTTAGAGAAGAGCAAAATCATTGAATATTATAGCTAAGAGAGACCTCAAACATTATCATTTAATTCCCATCATTGTGCAGATGAGATTCAAAGGAGTTAGACAAACCTAGGAAAGTCATAGAGCTAATTTGTTATGATGCATATAATAGAATGCAAGCTTTTTGACTCCCGTGCCTTCTGACCATGCTTCAGAATTCCCTTCCCAATGTCCATGTTCTTTCCATTCTATGAAGTTCTGGTTCTTAAGAAGCATAAATAAATGAACACATAAAGTGCTTAGCACAGAGCCAACAAATACTGGCAACCACTAAGTGTTAATTTCCTTTTTCATCAGTATGCCTTCTACCATAACAACCATTAAGCAAGTATTAGACTGGCTAGAGTTGATTGTCATCTTTAAATAGACGTCTACATATTTTTTTCAGAAGGCTCTATTAAAATGCCTGAGAATAAGTTATGAGTTTATATCTCAGCAAAATATGAAAGTAACAGTGAGAAAATAACTTTCTCGTGAATAAAAATATCCAACAGTACAAAAGGCTGTGCTTAGAGCTGAGTTCCTTATTACGAGCTATACTCAAGAAAGCCAGGTGGCAAGAAATCCAAGATTCCCTTCAGGTTTTTTTAATGAATAGAAGCTAGGATTAAATTACTTCTGAATCTGTCTTTAACCTGCTGACAAGGAGAATGAGAAAAAGGATATATTCAATGCAATGCTTAGGAAGTCTAATCTGATAGCAGCAAAAAATGAGATTACAGAAATACTAGCAGGCTAGTTAGGAGTTTTAGGATTTGGAGTTATCAACATAAAAGCATATAAAAATAAATGCAGATTCAATCATAAAAGCTTCAGGGTCTAATCTTTATTTATTTAACCTTTCCTTACAAAACTGCTTACATACTGACTTATGAAGCTTCTGAGAATTCCTCTCTTGGCCAAGCTTTAAGAATTTCCCATAATTAGTGCTTCTGCCAATCCCAGTGGCCACCCAGCAAGGGTGCTACTTGATGGGGTTGCTGGGAAGAGGATGAACAATGGATCAGAGACAGATTGTGTCAAGCTGGGAGATGGGCGTGCCTCTTTTGTGATTGTGTCTTCTCTCCTTAGGCTATGTTGACATCGGACTCATTCCTAAAGGAGCAAGGGACATAAGGGTAATGGAAATTGAGGGAGCTGGAAACTTCCTGGCCATCAGGAGTGAAGACCCTGAGAAATATTACCTCAATGGAGGATTTATTATCCAGTGGAATGGGAACTATAAGCTGGCAGGGACCATCTTTCAGTATGACAGGAAAGGAGACCTGGAGAAGCTGATGGCCACAGGTCCCACCAACGAGTCAGTGTGGATCCAGGTAATGCAGAAAGGACGGAAATTGCTGACATGTACACTTGTTAGGATCTTTCTCACTTTTTGTTGAAGGTATTTTGCTAGGAGACATTAAGTAAGAATCTTTAAAACTTTTTTTAGCAAAGGACAGAGAGGGGAGCTGAGATATTAGTTTGTGCTGTTACCTAGAAGTTGCTGAAACCCCCATACCAAAATGCCAGGGGCTCTAGGCTGATTCATTTGAGAATGATTGTTCCTCGGGTACATAAAGGATGTTCTAGGCCTATTGACAGTGTGACATGAGTTCACAAGTAGATTTCTAGCAGTGATGGTGAATCAACATATTATCATGTGTTGTCCTCAGGCAAAGGGTTTGACTTTGTGATAATCTTGGTGGAAGGAGTGTTTAGAACAAAATATGTGCTCTTCAAAGGCACAATGGATTTGTGTAGAAAAGGACTGGAGAGGCTGGGTTTGGTGGCTCAGTCTGTAATCCCAGCACTTTGGGAGGCTGAGGCGAGTGGATTGTCCGAGCCCATGGGTTCGAGACTAGTTCGGGCAACTTGGCAAGACCTTGTTAAAATTAGCCGGGTATGGTAGTGTGCATCTATAGTTCTGGCTACTTAGGAGGCTGAAGGGGAAGGATTGCCTGAGCCCAGCAGGCCAATGCTGGGGTGGGCATGAGTGTGCCACTGCATTCCAGCCTGGGCGATAGAGTAGGAGTCCAACTCAAAAAAAAAAAGAAAAAAGAAAAGGAGTGGAATGATTATACCAGTAGAGGCAAGGCAGATTGAGGATGACATGGTTCAAGAGAGTCAGATCCAATCACTTTTGAAAGTTAGGGGGCGGCCAATTCTAAGCCAGAGATTGGAGCACTCACAAAAGCTGAAGGACAAGCTTAGCAGCTGTGATCCATGAATGCCATGGGACTTTATATCTGACTGTCCACAAGGGCAAGGTTTTACATATAGGAACTCATAATCCCAAGGAACAACTAATTGATCCACTGTCTCTAAGTTTGAGATGAATTCATTTTAAACATGCAGTAAATAGATTGCCTGCAAATGAGGGAAGTGAGGGGAAGATCCCAAGAGTGGCACCTCTTAGCTAAAATCCACTTTCATCCTAGATCTTTGATGTGTTAAAGAAACTAGCCAGAGCTAGGGAATGGCAGCATAAGACAACAACAAACATAATAAAATTTAACATTCACTGAGTGGCAACTCCATGCCAGGAACTATTCTAATCACTTTATATGTGTTTGCTCATTTAATCCTCACAACAACCCTAGTAGCAGATATTATTATTATCCTCACTTTGTATATGAGCAAACTATGGCATTTACCTATATTCACAAAGTATCTACATAGGAGCACAAGGTGACCTACCAGCCTATTGTTGGAAAGGACACTCCTTGCTCTTCCCTCAGAGTAACCCCTATGATTAGACATCCCCATTTATGTGAACTAAAATTCCCATAAGAATCCATCCAAGAGGCCAGGCATGGTGGCTCAGCCTGTAATCCCAGCACTTTGGGAGGCCAAGGTGAGAAGATTGCCTGAGCCTATGGGTCGAGAACAGCCTGGGCAACTTGGTGAGACCTCGTCTCTCCAATAAATCACAGAAATTAGCCAGGCATGGTGGCGCACATCTGTAGTTCCAACTACTTGGAAGGCTGAGGTGGAAAGATTGCCTAAGCCCAGCAGGTCAAGGCTGCAGTGGCTGTGAGCATGCCACTGCACTCTGGCCTGGGCGACAGAGTGAGACTCCAACTCAAAAAAAAAAAAAAGAAAAAGAATCCATCCAAGAAATAATAGAATAGAAAAGAACTAGATTTAGATGTAGAAGTAAAAGCAGAGGCAGAGATAGTATGAAAGTGGTGGTAGAGGTAGATATAAAGACATAGACATAGACGTGGACATGGATATAGACATGGGTGTAGATGTAGGTATAGATCCATTTAATGGCATTTGTTCCAGTGTATGCTTGCATAACTACCTTTAGGTGGAAGACCTTGGTGTTTTTACATGACTGTGGTTTGCTGTATAAAGTCATAATAGAGTTTGACCTGACCCTCCCTCTTGTCTTTTAGCTCCTGTTCCAGGTGACTAACCCTGGCATCAAGTATGAGTACACAATCCGGAAGGATGGCCTTGACAATGATGTGGAGCAGCTGATGTACTTCTGGCAGTACGGCCATTGGACAGAGTGCAGTGTAACCTGTGGGACGGGTGAGAAACAGCTGCTTTACTGTGAAACCATGCCAGCTTCAGAGCTGACCAGGGAGGCAACCTAAGCAGGAAGTTTTGTTTGTGCTCTGTGCCCATGAATCTGCAGGGCTCTGTAGAGATGGCCCAGGGGCCTCTGTGGACAGTGAATGTGTAGGGCCATAGTTTAAGAGGCAGTTTTTCTTTTATATGCTGTCCTTCATGAAGAGTTTTGTTTGAAGGTTTTGTTACATGTCAAGCAAAAAGACTTAAAAACCAGTTCTGATTGAGGACCTGAGAACCACAAAAGTAGAACAACTTCTCCAAACACATACTATAAATCATGGGTCAATTCCAAACTATAACCAGCTCTTTTGAGTCCTAACCCAGTGTTCTTTCTCCACCTCTAATTTATCATTTATTTTTTATATCCACTAGGAAAGTAGCTTTTTCTCACAAAATCAAACCCTAAAGAGGTTCACTTGCTGCCAAGTATTAGTCAGGATGGGATAGGCTGTGCTACAGTAACAAATAAATCAAACTCTTAGTAATCCAACACAATGAAGGTTGATTTTTAACCCACTGTACATCTGAAATCTGGTTGGGAGGCCCACTTTATCTGTGGCTAAGATATTGAAATGCTTCACTTCCAGCTTGCCCGTAGGGAAAGAAAGAGATGGAAGAGGCAGACTGGCTCTGTTGACAGCCTAGGCCTGGAAGTAACACAAATCACTGCTGCTTGCATCTCATTGGTTGGCTTTAGTCACATGTGCACAATCTAACTGCAAAGTCAGTCCAGGGAATGTGGAGAAGCCCATGAATATTTGGAGAGCATGGACTCTCTTTGCTGCAGTGCTAGATAAACTTTCCCAAAAGCTATTAAGGCAAGGTCCAGGGCCTGCTGGATAGTTGGGGCTCTTTCCCTCATTTAGGGGGCTTTAGTAATAATGGCATATATGAAATCCTCTGCCTCTGTTTCTCCTTTTTGGATCATGTCTAAGTCTGCCCTGGAACTTCTTGCCTCTAGCCTGTAACTACTGCCTGAAAATCAGGCAGCTACAGGGGGAAGTGCCAGAATCAGCAATGTAGCAAAAGGAAGAGAAGTGAGGCAGTGAATGGACCAGAAGACCACAGTCTACTCCTCCATGGCTTCCTCTCACATACCTGGTCTACACACTTCCTATTCACTGGCTTTCCCACCCCCAGGAGGTGATCATGCAAAGAGGTTCTTGTCGAAGTCAGGCACTGTCAACCTTACAAACAATGTTTGTATTATCAACTTCTTTCTTTCCCTGCTTCTGTGCAGAAAACTAAGATAAGCCTTTAGAATTCATAATAAAATGTTCTTTTTAAATTGTGTAATATTTTGAAAATGCTAATGCTCTGGAAATGTATCTAGGTCAAAGTTGCAGTCTGTGACAGAGTCATAAGTGGCATTGGTAGGAGAGTCAGTCCCATGATACCCACTGCTGCCTCTAACATTTCCAAATGTACTACCCACCATTGCCCAGAGTGGGGGTTGGGCTCACAGTTAAGTTTAGCAGAGGCAATATAGGCAAAAATAAGTAGGTAAAAAAAAATTCTCCAAGGAACAGTGGGAGGAAAATGAAGCCATCGTGACTGTAATTGCAAATGCTTTGTTGATTTATCATTCTGTTTGTTCTCATCTTTCTATGAAATTCTAAGTGTAAATCGTTTGTGCTAGGATCCCATGTAGTGAAACTGAACCAGCAATAACTGGGCAGGGACATTTCAGATAAACGGGAGACCATCCTCCACTCTCTTCTATTTCAAGATAGAATGAATCCTTCGCATGACATCTACATTATTTCAGAGCATCAGGAATCAAGAGATAAATGGCTGATGTGTGCAGTGATTGTAGATACACCTGAAGTTAGCTAGGAAATTGAATATTCTTACCAGATATCAATCAGACATTTGCTTTTGTGACTGTCTAAGCCTTGAGCAGCACCTTTACCTACCTGGGTAAATGTCACTCTGATTACAAAGCCTTAATGGGAATGATCATGGCACTCACATGCTCACCTGCACTTCAGCCACACTGCCTATTCGAGTGACGATGAGTTCACTTGCTGAGGAAGAGAAGAAAGACAGCATGACTACTTTAATCTTCACAAACATAGAGGATGAAATACTAATATTCACACAGGACACACGTTGCTAAATATAAAGGTGAAAGACTGCGTAAAATACTGAATCATTGCCATGAATTTTTAATTTTTTTAAGTTAAAACGTGCTATATTATAAAAGTGAGTTAAACACATTACTGAAACATCAAAAATGAAGTCGCCACGCTAACACATGTACTTTTGCTGCTTGGCTTTTTTATTTTCCTTTCAATATGTTTTTTCTTAATCATGGATGTACATAGTTGTGTGCCCGTGTGTGTATTTATATACACATACACACATATGTTTTCACTTATTGCCATCGGGAAACTTTTTTATATTATACAATCTTTATAGCTATCATTTTTAGGAATGCATTTTACTCTGCTGGAAAGATAAAACAGAGTTTCCTTAACCAATTCCTTATTGCTTTTCCTCTGATGAGCATTTTTGGACCCATGTAAAAAATGATTCCCTTAGTTTTAATTTTTATGGGGAATTTCAAGGTTCAAGGCATAAGCAGTATTGTGATAATGTTAAGGAACATATTACCAAATCTATTTCTATAGTAAAAGGATTACAAACACATGGAAGCAATCATTTTATCTTTTAAATTATTGTATCATTTTAGCATTATGCTTTTTTACTGGGGAACATTTTAAATGTACCAATAAAATAGATAATGTAGTAACAGGTTCCTGCGTGCTAAATCACTCACCTTTATCACATCTTACTGTTATGTCTGTTTGTTTTCGTCTTTATTTCTAAAGAAAAAAAAATTCCACAACTAGAGTTAAGAAGCACATCCCACTTCTGCTTCCTTTACTTTTTCCCGAGTTAGCTAGGGTCATGGAACAAGTGTTTATTATTCTCATGTATGTTGATAAATACTTTTATTATGCACATGTAGTATTATGCAGGTGTAGTATTATGCATGTGTATTATTATGCATCATGTCATATTATTTCTCGGGAATTTAAGCCTTCTATTAATGGTATCGTACTCAATATATTATTCTTTATCTTACTTTTTTACTTAATATTATGCTTTTGAGATAAATCCACATTGATAAAATTAATCTAATGCTTTCATTTTAAGGGCTGCACATATTTCATTTTATGGATACATCGCAATTTGTTTATACATTCTACTAATTTACAGCTATAAATATTTCTGCAATGCTGTAATGAACACTTTATAATTATTGCCGTAATAGCTCAACTTTTAAGCTTTTTAAATATGTAAACCTAGAAGTAAAATCCCTGGGTCATATAGTCTGTGCATATTGCAGGAATAAATCAGTGAACTCATATGTTGCCATGGAATGCTTTAAATTTTTCAGGGAAATAAATAAATTTTAAAGGGAAACATTGCAATACTTAACACCTTTTAGAATCATGTATCTACTACTAACTCAAGGTAGTTCAAGGTTAGGTCACACTGCATTCTTGTCAATGACATCCTATCTTTGTGAAACTGGTGTTTTATAGTTACTGTGATTAAAAAAATAATAATCTAGTACTGCCTGAGAATAATGTGGAACAGTAAATATAAAGTCTAGTCTTATTCAAAGATTTGAAAAGTTGAGCAGTATCCAGTAGATGCAAGCATCTCATTGGTAAGTTAATTTAAAATGAAACAAAAATACGATTTTGTGTTTCAGTTGATATGTGTTATTTTATCAGATGGCTACTAAGTTGTTAGACCATAAATATTTATTAATTGGGGCCTACCTATTTAGTGAGTGGAACTGGTAAATGTTTTATTTGGTCTGGAAGCATCATGAAATGTTACTGAAACACTAAGGGCACTAGGAACTGGAAATGTTAGAAGCCTCTGCTCTAATCTCTGGCTTGTCTTTTAAGTTTTGTTTTCATCATTTTATTTACATTGAGCATAACTCATGATAAGCATAAATGTTAAACTTTAATATAATCAATTTTGTTAATTTTCCTTTTAATGTTTGTGCTTTTGGAGTCTTAACTAAAAATGCATTTCTATCTCAAAGTCATTAAGTTATGAGTCCATGTTTTCTTCTAAAATTTTCAAAATTTTGAATTTCACATAAGGAGTTTATTCCACCTAAATTTACTTTTGTGGGGGTATAAAGTAGGGATCTAACTTCCTAATGAATAATCAATTATTCTGACCTCATTTATTGAATAAGACATCCCCCTCTTTATTGGTATTTTTAAAACTGTTTTCATTTTGGCATTTTCTTATTTTAAAGACATTTCTGAAAACTTGGCAAAATTAATCTGAATGACTATTATTGAACTTGACAGTACTTATATTAAGGAAGAGGTAAAATCATTATACAGCATTTAGAAAGGAATGCTCTCAAGCCACCCCATATACATACTCAGGTTAAATGTGTACATAGCCTGATAGCTGGGACATCTGCTTCCAGCTTATTGTTCTTCTTGGCTGTCTTCTGATTGGGTTTCCTTAAGCAGGTCCCAGACTTTTAACCACAGTCTGGGTTTTTTAGTCAAAACCACTGGCCATACATGCAGTAGGAGGATTGGGTTAAGCTAATAACTTGCCTTTCTGACTGATCACGGAGATGCTCTCCACGGTCATTTACCATTCAAGTTCCTTTGGGAGAGTGCTCTTCCTTGTCTGTACCTTTGGGTGGAATTGATGTTGATTCCTCTTATTCCCGGAGCTACATGTGCAAGACAGTTCATCAAGTCTTCTTTGGCGTGACTATGTGATGCTTTGCCTATGTATCCACCGTCAGAGTCAAAGGGACTGCACGCTTGTCAAACGGGAAACTCACTGTGTCCTTACTGCAGGAGCTCTGTGATAGGTGATGATTCTCTTGTCTTCTCCTTTTTCACTCAGTTTTATAAGCACTCCTGGAAAACAATACAACTTTTTAGAAATTGTAG